GAGACTAATCATTAAATCAACGAAGACTCAAACACAACATCCCAAAACTTGTGGGATACCACCAAGGCAGTACTAAGAGGTAAAGTTATTGCAATTGGTGCATATGTCAAGATAAACAAGTTAAGTATACACCTGAAGGAACTAGAAAAACAGCAAAATAAGGCCAAAAACAGAAAAAAATTAATGAAAATAAGAAACCAAATAGAAAGCAAAAGAACAATACACAAAATCAATGAATCAAAAAGTTGGTTCTTTGAGAAAATAAACAAAATAGACACCCCACTGGCCCAACTGATCCCCCACCCCCTACCAAAGCAAGAGAAAACAAGAATAGCATCAAAGATAAAAGGAAACATAACAGACACTGCAGCCATGCAGAGAATTAGAAATTACTACAAACAACTATATGCCAACAAATCAGAAGACCTCCATGAAATGGATAGGACTCCCACCATCTACCAAAGGTTAGCCATGAAACAACAGAAAACCTAAACAAACCTATAATGGAGGCAGAAATCAAATCAGTAATTAAAGCCCTCCCAACAAAGAAAAGCCTGGGTCCAGATGGTTTCACTGCTGAATTCTACAAAGCATTCCAAGCAGAGCTGACCCCAATCCTCCATAAACTCTTCAAAACAATAGAAGGGGAGGCAATTCTTCCAAACTTGTTCTATGAGGCCAACATCACCTTAATACCAAAACCAGATAGAGAATCAACAGAGAAAGAAAACTACAGACTGATATCCCTGATGAATAGATGCTAAGATCCTCAACAAAATACCAGCTGACAGAATACAAAAACACATCAGATTATTCATCTGGACTAGGTGGGATTCATTCCTGGCATGCAGGAATGATTTAACATTTGTAAATTGATAAATGTGATACATCATGTAAAAAATCTGAGGAATAAGAATTATATGATAGATGCTTTCAGAAAAAGCTTTTGATAAAATTTCAGCATCACTTCATGCTAAAAACTCTAAATAAGGCAGGCATAGAAGAACAATCCACAACATAATCAAAGGAATATAATGCCAGCATCATATTGAATGGGGAAAGACTGGAAGCCTTCCCACTAAGATCTGGAACCAGACAAGTTTGTCCACTATTGCCACTACTTCTTAACATATTATTGGAAGTTCTCACAAATGCTATTAGACAAGAAAAAGAAATCAAAGGAATTCAAATTGGAAACGAGGAAGTCAAGCTATCTCTGTTTGCAGATAATATGATTCTATACATAGGAGAACCAAGAGACTCAATAAAGTGCTGGAACTTTCACGAGTTTGGAAAAACTGGCAGGGTACAAAATAAATGATTAGAAATCAACAGCCATAGTGTATGCAAACAACTCCAAGGCAGAAAAAAAAACTAACCAGCATTGTACCCTTCAAAATAACAGAGAAGAAAATGAAATACCTGCGAGATCTCTATGAGGCAAACTACAAAACAAAGAAAAGAAATACAAAATGACCTCAAAAAAGTAGAAAAACATATCATGCTCCTGGATGGACAGAGTCAATATCATCAAAATGTCCATATTATCAAAAGCAATATATACTACATTCAACATGATTCCAATTAAAATACCAAGAACATTCTTCACAGAGCTGGAAAAAAATGACAAACAAGCTCATCTGGAAACATACACACACACAAAACAACCCCACCAATATCCAGAACTATCCTGAAGAATAAGAACCTAGTGGGAGGAATCACAATCCCAGACCTTCGGACATACTATAGGGCAGTAGTTATCAAAACAAACTGAAACTGGCATGAAAACAGAGGAAGACCAAAGAAGTAGAACAGAAACACCAGAAGGGAACCCACACATGCACAGCTATCTAATCTTCAACAAGAAAACAGAAAACAATCCAGGGAAAAAGGAAGGACTCTTTAATAATGCTGTTGGGACAACTGGTTAACAGCCTGCAGAAATAAGAAGCAAGACCTGCACCTTTCACTATACACAAAGATCAAATCTAAATGGATAAAAGATCTAAACCTACACCCAGAAGCCATCAAATTTCTGGAAGAAAAAGTTGGAAATACTCTGCAAGATATAGGTGTAGGCACTAACTTCCTAGAAAAATCACCAAAAGCAAAGGAAATCAAGACCAAAATAAACAAACAGGACTACATTAGGCTAAGAAGCTTCTGCACAGCAAAGGAAATAATCAACAAAGCAAAACAGCAACCTACAGAATGGGAAAAGATCTTTGCACACTACAAGGGAGACAAGGAGTTAATTTCCAGAATATACAAAGAACTCCAGAACAGCCATAACAACAAAACAAACCAGTCAAGAAATGGGCAAGAGAAGTGGGCACTTTTCAAAGGAACAAATCCAAATGGCGAATAGGCATATAAAAAAAATGCTCAAGCTCCCTGACAATAAGAGAAATAAAAACAACACTGAGGTTCCACTTAACTCCAGTAAGAATGGGTCGGGTCACATACAGAAAACTACCAACACCACCTGCTGGAGAGGTTGCGGGAAAAAAGGAACCCTACTCCACTGCTGGTGGGATTGCAGGCTGGTGCAACCACTAAGGAAGAATACTTAGGAAACTGAAAATCCCACCTACCATATGACTCAGCAATACCATTATAGGAATATATCCAAAAGACACAATACATGAGAAAGCAAGCTGCACCCCTATGTTCATACAGCACAATCAATAATCACAAAAACATGGAAGCAACCTAAATGCCCATTAACAGAGGACTGGATAAAGAAACTGTGGTTCATCTACTCTATGGAATACTACTCAGCTATTAAAAATAATGAAATACAATTGTTTGTGGCCAAATGGGCACCATGCTAAGGGAAAGGAGCCAATCCCAAAAGGTCAGATATCATACTTCTGCCCTACTGTAATATAATATGATGTCAAATCTAAGGATTTTACATGTGAATTTTACCTTATTGCACTTCCTAGTTATTTGTACCTTTCATAATAAGATCTTGTGATGTAATTCATTAATCAATCATCCATAAGAGACTGATTGTAATCACCTGAGATTATTCCTGTTATTGCTACTGCCCATAAGTATCAAAGGATCTGGTCCTTATTATATTTTCACTAGTACCACATGGGACACAGCTGGCATTTATTCCTACAGGAAGATGTTGGACACTCCTTTTCACCACCCTAGCATCACATTGATACCTTTGTTACATGTTCATCAACTTCATGGGGATGAAGGTTCATTTTTTCTCCCCATGGTGGACTGTACCTAAGGGAATGCATAATGGAAGTGTAGCGGAAATTAATATGTTCATAGGTGGAAACAGAGAGAAGTATGTCCCCATGCATGCAGTACAAGGATGGACTCACAGCGAAATGGCTGATAATCTCCTACACTGTTGGGAGACACCTCAGTGGCAGTTCGAAGGACTTGTGAAAATTCACAAAAGACATCCATTTTAAGACTGGAGAACAGTGAGGAGGGGAGAGAACGTGGGGAGGAGGAAGGGAGACCCCAGTGCCTATTAAATTGTGTCATAAAATAGTAAAAAGAAACAAACAAAAAACACAGAAAAAAACCCAAGAACAGACTTTATTTGTAACATAAAAGTTCTATATTCTTGTGAGGCAGCAACACGTGTTCAGATACAGGGAATACATAAGTACATAGTAACAATATCTATCACCATCAGAAATGCTGCTTTTTGGGAGAATTTTGTTAGAAAAACAAAATTTTAAAAAATTGCATTTAAAAAAGATTTATACAACTTCAACAGAGATGAAACATGCAGTTAAAAAACATAAATTATATTCAACAGGACTGTATAAACAAAATATTGTTTAGGACTGCTCTGCTTCTCATTAATTAGAGTAAAACTTAAACCTTAAAGTGCAGTGTTAAATATCCTTAGCTTTACTTGCAAATTCAGCGCTTCCATTGGTCTGGTTTTGAGAAGTCAAAATTTTAAGCATTAAGGAATGAGTTTTAATTTAAGAATAGTAAGTTTAAGAGTGGCAACTTAGATTTTCCTTAACTGTAGAAAATCTTGACAAACCAGTCCTAATCTTAGACATAAAGACTATAAATCTCCTTTTTTAATACTATCTAGTGAAAGCCAACCACTAAAAATGAAAACGGAAAAGAAAAAAAATTAAAAAAGCTTTTCGTGTTGCCAGACACTCTACAGTTAGCAACAGCACCTTCTAAAAGACTGATTTGGTCTGCAGTCATAAGTATAAACATTTAAAATAAAATGAGGAATTCAGTTGGAAAATAATTTGGCATCTGTGCTCATATTTAACTAAAAAGGGAAAACTGGTATTTTAAAAAATGTAATTGTTCACAAAAATCCATGACAAGTAATAGACTTAGTCATGATCACAAACAGTTAATTTATTTAAGTTGTATCACTACAAGGAAGAAACAGTTTTAAGGGTAAAATATAAGTAAAATTGACAAAGTGAATAACCAGAGAATAGCTCCTTTTGCCAAGATACATGCCGGTATTTTTAAATTGTGATGAAAGTAATTTTATTCAAAATTTTTACAAATTAAAATTTTTTTTATCTCCTTACAATTTTCTACAGAATAGCAATATTATGGAGTATAATTTTAGAAAATATTATGCATTCTCTTGAGAAAAACATCTGGGGACTAAGGGTTCAGTAAAACTGCTCACTGGACCTATGACTACTCTCTTTTCAAGGCTATGGTAAAGCTTAGAACTTAGCCCTTCGGCACCGGCCAAGTTGTACCTTGTACCTTTCATTTTCTCAATTCTCAGGCTCAATCTCTCTGAACCCAAGGGATATATCTGGTTGCCATACAAGTTCACACATTCTCCTTATAACCACCTATCAGACTGCAAGATTGCACACAATAAGTCTGCAAGTTTTCTTTCATCCATTCTGATTTTAAATCACTTTAGCTTAAAGATACATAAATTTGACAAATGCAAAAACAAAACAAAATGGGAAAATCTGTTTCCAAAGCAGGATTTCTAGTTCTAAAACATCCTGGTGACTATGGAGTCAGCAAAGGAAAGGAAACCCACACAGTCAGGAATACAACCCTGACTTAACAGAACTCAAGTAATCGAAACAAAACAAAACAAACAAAAAGCCCTGGGTTCTGAGCAACCTTCTCCACTCACACCAACTCACCTGACCTCAGTTTTACTTTTTCTTCTGTACTGGTGACGAAGGAGAAACTGGGAGGTGAAGTAGGAATTCCCGAAGGTAGAGCAAAGAAGGCCAAGAAGCCAGGCTCTCCAAACACCAATCAGAAACTGCAGACTCAAAGTAAGTGAGCTTTTAACTAGTTTAGATGCTATGTTAAACTAGTTCCAAGTAAACTGGCTTTGGATGGAAAAGTACAAAAATTTATCAGTCCTACCAACTAAAACCTGATGGGATTTTTTGATATTTGAATTTACCTGATTTACCTAAATACACCATCAATTTTTAATTTTACAGAGTATGTTTAAAATTATTTTGCTGCTTTAAAGGTGCATCAATATAAGAAGTCCTTTCAAAAGATTTTTCTTCCACTAAATTTTCCTTAATGGAATATTTTTGGACAAGTTGATGCATTAATCTCCAAAACATGTCCCTTTACAAGGATTTAAAATTTTTTTCTGCCCATTATATGTATAGCAAATTATTGCATCATAGGTTAGAATATGGTGTTTAAAGGATGCCTTTTTAAATTAACACTTCTGAAACTCATTTCTTATAAGACCCACTCCTTAATTTCACTACTACCTATCCAGAAACAAACACTACTGTCACAAGATAATGGCAGTGATTTGCACTAGCCAAGAGTCCAAATCCAAAACTGTCTGGGTTTTCAAGTGTGTCTGTTGTTTTATACCCCAAACCTTTTCTCTCTTCCCCAGTGTGTGGACTATAACGGGGTAACTAGCAAAACCTGTAGGCAAGAAATTTTGGTGTCAATCACCATCAACAAAAAGTTTCAAGGTCTCTGGCTATGGATCACTATTCAATGGATTACACTCCTGGCGAACTACTAAACCTGACCGACCGTATCCACAAGACAAAGACATCACGAAAGCGAAGGAGCAAATCCATGCACAGCCATTGTAGGATCTCTGGGGCTATGATACAGTGATGAAGGGTGGAAGGATACCTGTGGCACAGGAGGGCAATCACGTGATTTTCTTCACACAAGGCCGAAGGGCTCCTTACTCCTAGCTAACAAGCAACACTAGATAGTTTCCTTTTTGGCTCATTGACTCTTAGGCCAATTCCAAAATGGGTGAGAACATATTAAAGCACTTGTCTTCAGACTATTATTTTTCTGGCCACATAGTGAAATGTGTACAGGAGTCATGAAGAAAATAGCAGTTTTACAAATATTTCACCCAGAGCACAAACTTTTGACATCAAAAACATAAATCACATAATGTACGAATATTGCTTTTCTTTTTTAAAACTCTTAATATATACTTGTTTGATGCATTTACCTATCAATTCTTGTTTGGGAGAACACAGCCATGAGATGAAGACTGCTGGGGGAAATGTCAACAATCCCTTTGGTCCCAAGCTGCACACATGTAGGAAGGGTTACAGGAAACAGAGGCCACCAAGGAATCGTTTGCATGTCTTGTTTGCTACGTTTCAGAAAATGTAACATTGGTATTATAAAATAGTCGTTTTCATATAAAAGATGGTTCTTGCAGCATCATTCACCTCTCCCTTCAGAAATCATGTTAACAGAGATCAGGTTCTGTGGGTTTATATTTTCTTTTTCTCCAAGAAGTCGAATTTGAAAACAAAAAAACAATGTGACACTGTCCCTCCAAAAGTAAAGGATGAGACACTCTTGTTTGATTTTGTGGAAGCTCAGGCTGAGCGCTGAGGGTTGGCCTTCATGGGTGGGACAGAGCTGTCAGAGGGGCTGCTTTTCTTCCAGGAGCCTCACCGTCACATCACTGCTGACTGGGCGCTCACTATCCCATCAGTCAAGCCTTCTGAGGAGGTTCAGTTTCCAGATCAAACGGCCACCTGGCACCAAGTCCTACCCTTCAGCTTCCTCGATGGGTTCTGGTGGGGACAGCAGAGGTGCGGATGGCAGAACCGTACTTGTTCCTCGAGAGACCCGGTCTTGCTCTGTGTTTGTGGATAGGGAGGCCACAGCGATAGGCTGAAGCAGAGTGGTGGTCATGCCAGTGGTGACTGTCAGGCTGTGGCCAGAGCCCTTGAGGGTAAGATCCGGTGTGGGGAGGAGTGGCTTGAGGATGCTGACGAGGCAGAAAGCTGAGCCACTTTTAGGAATGAAATTCACCTTGTTTTTGTCAGGACAGTAAAAAGCTGGGATTTCGTGAAGTTGTTTTGGCCTAAACATAGAACAGACAACCCCATACTTTTAAATCACTCAACATTGGAAACACGCTTTTATTTTTAAAAACAGGTAACTTACAGAAACATAAAAGGAATAAAAAACACATACTATAGAAAAAAATAAGTATCTCCAAGTGCAGGGCACCACTCCCTGTTGCAGCATTCAGTTCCCTCAAGAATCCCAGTACCACACAAGTGACTCAGAGTTGAGATCTAAGACAGCCAATAGGAATTGAAACTTCCTAAAACAAAAGAAAATCTAGATACTTAAAGACAAAAATATGTTCCACTATCACGGTGTGTGCTATTCTGAAAGAAGACAAAGAAATCAAGGATATACGATGTCCGCCTTCTGCTAAATTCTACCATTACATGACTAAATGGGTAGGTGTGTAGGTGTGGGTTTTCTTTAGGGCTCTTGAAAGTCTCTTTGAACCAACTCTAACCATGACAGCTGAGTAACGTAATGTAAATGGAAAATCAAGATAAGATTGTTCAGTCACATGAGGGAGATACAAATTGTTCAGTCACATGAGGGAGACACTAAATTAAGTTAAGATAGGAAAACCTGAATAAATCAAGACTTAGCTTATATGAACATATGACAAGAAAAAATTATTGTTCTCATCTCTCTCAGTAACAATTCTGGTAAAATCTAAATGTGCCATGTCCATACTAGACTCTGAGGTACAAAGATGAAATAAACCACAATGGGGAGATGGACCGACTCTGTAACTCTTATAGGGGGTTACCTGGTGGAATACCTTTCGATAGAATTTGTCTCTTCTGTAATCATACCTATTCTATGCATTTAAGATCCATACGCTTTACCAGGCTGCCAGACCTGACCAGGGCATAACAGAGGATAAGGGTTCTGGTTGTGATGACAAAGCTTTGTGAGAGGTTCAGAGGCAGCAGCAGGGAGTGGGTAATCTGGCATAAGAGGAAGAATCTAAGAGAAAGTGGCTACCCCAAGACACCAATCTGTGAACCAAGTTGAAGGCTGAGTAACAACAGACTCAAGGAGTGGGCAGCAAAAGGACACCTTGCATGCAGACAGTGCTCCGGCTGCCAGCTTTTATTAATGTAAACACTACCCATGGACAGCTTTGGCAAACACAACTATTTAAGAACAAAGGAAAAGAGCATCTTTGAGTTATGTTTTCCTTGTCCCGTATTCTTTCTTGAATACAATGGGAACTTAACAGGCCAAGGACTTGTGGAGCCATCAGTACATGCAGGTAGACAACTGAGAGAGGAATACATGTCTATTTTTATCATCCAACAGGATGGTTTTCCACTCCTTAGAAAAGATAGGAAGCTGAGGTTATTTTCTATAAACAATGCATGAATTTTCCTTTTTAGATAGATTTACTGGAGACAATTTTTCTTTTTTAATTCTATTTTTTTTATAAAGGGAACAAATTGTATTTCTTTTTTTTTTTTCTTGAACAAATTGTATTTCATATATATAGTTTTATGATACTTTTCATCCTTCCCCCACCCTCCGACCCTTCTCTCTCTTTTCTTATTTCTTAATGTTTTTATATTAGGGAGACAAAAACTCAAATTCTTATACACCCAAAGGGTGTGTTTTTAATGCAATAATGAATTCATTTGAGGTTATCTTACAAAAAAATGACTCTAGAAACTGGCTAATAGATTTTCAGGATGGTATGACATTTCTTGAACACAAAGAAACTCTCTCATTACAATAAAATTCTTGATATGGAAAACATTTTCCAATGACGGGATTCTAGAAACTGCTAAATTTCCTTGCTGTTTTTATGAAAGACTAGTAACATACCACATGCACAGTAATGTAAACAGTAATAGGCTGAGTAATGACCAGGAGCAAGAAACAGAACACCAGAAGTAAGTAACGCCAAAAACTGCCCCTGTGTCCTCTTACAGTTTCTATCCTAGCTGACCTAGAAGAGTCACTCTCCTAATCTTTCACAGCTGGCTTCTAGGAACATACTACCCAAGAACAACAGTATCTGGCCCTTCGAAGTATTCTGTACAGTTAATCACCTCAAAGTATTCTCCAAATTAAGAACCATACATACAAAGAGGGAAAAAAAATTCCTGAGAACTAGCTAATACTTTTGTCTTCTTTATGCAGTTATTCTGAAGGACTATGTCTCAAAAGAAATATACTACTACCAACAAAATCCCAATATTGCAAAAAAGGCCTTAAAAACCAGGAATTTAAGGTCAAGGAGCTCATCACCTGGGATCAAGGTGTCATTACAAAGGACTTAACCAAGTACAGATCATACGGCTATGTTGTGTGCTATCATCAAAAAGAACACAAAGACTGAAGCACAAAATCTGGTGTTGTCCTTCCTGAGTTTAAACCTAACTACTCCTCCTTCTCTCAGGTAAATAGTTCATCTTGAGAAAACAATAGATTGCCCTTCCCTCCCATCGCCCCCCCCCCCCCCCCCGGTGGCCCAGGTCAAAGTTATTTCTTCAAATCAAAAGACATAGAAAAATAAAAGATGATTAAACAGGGCAGGTGCCACAGCATAGCAGCCTAAACTATATCGTGCACCAGCTTCCCAAGGGGGGCACCAGATCAAGTCCTTTGACTACTGGATATGGCTCCCTGCTAACATGCCTAGGGAAACAATGGAGAAGGGCACAAATGCTTAGGCCTCTGCATCCATGTGGGAGACCTAGAAGAAGCCTCTTGTTCCTCGCTTCAGACCAACAACGATCTGCCCGTTGTGGTCATTTGGGAGGGTCAACCACTGGGTAAAAGATCAGATAAAAGATCTCTCTGTGTGTTTCTCTTTTTCCTCCATAACTCTCCCTTTCAAATAAACAAATCTTAAAAAAAGTGATGATTAAACAACAAAAATTTTAAGTTAGGACCAAGAGCTTCCGTTCTATTAATGCCAGTATGTCCAGTGGCTTTTGCTCCAATTTTGTCACAGTAGGGCTAAAAGAGAAACTAATATTTTTATGATTTTAAGCAATTTGTTTTATTGACAGAGGGCTATAGTTACCACTAAGAACAACTTTAAGGGTACTACTCCTGTTAATTAATTTTAGAATATAATTAAAACAGTAATAGGCTTCTGTGTTAACATTTTATACACCAGCATAATTTATAATAAACATTGTATTAAAAAAGAATAGTTTGTCTTCTAATACACCAATGTGCCATAAAATGTGTTAAGGCTTACCTTATGTTCCTTTTACCTGTATCTGTTCATACACATGCCTGTCTTACCTTCCCTTCTTTTAGACACAACTAATGTGAAGTAGATAGCTCAGATTTAGTCCTGAGAAATTATCTAAATTCAGCAGTGTAAGCCAGACTGCAGGACACCAATCCATGTAACAAAACTACTTAATTCAAATTGCTTTGAGTCAATCAAATGACTGCATGACTTTATACCTAGGTAAATGTCACCTGCCAATGAGAAGATCAAAGCTCGATAAAGGGTCCATTGAACCAACTGATTTTCACTTCACAGAATGATCCCATTTCTTAAAAACAATCATGAAAAGACCTAAGTTACATTTTAAAATTAAGCCTAAGACTTTCATGAGGTATTTGTTAAAGGTGTGGAACCCAGGATTGATCTCCCTATCAAATCATTCACCAGGCCTGGAGTGATGCCAGGGAATCTGCACTTGCAATCACTTTCCCAGTTGATTACGATGCCAACGGTCCAGGGAACAAACTCACAGAAATACGGGCTCGAAGTTTGCGCTAGGTGGCACCAGCAGAAACTTACAGGCTGACATGGTGAACAAAACTAAAATAAGCAGTTGCTTAAACAGGAGCTTTCAACTGAAGCAGAGGAGAGACCAACAGTGAAAAGATAGCTAGAAGAGAAGCTGAAGAGATTCAAAGACAATGTTCTTTGTGTGGTAAGATTATGCAGAATTTAGGTTAAAGAAAAACTGATAAGACATGAAGGAAAAACAAGAGGCTGCCAGAGGCTGCCATCCCTGAATTCTCTTCAAAATGCTGACAGTGGAAGAAGACAAACTGTGTGACCTAGAGAGCAGGCTGGACAATATCCATTTCTATCTTAGGTTTCATAGTAAGAAGCAGTCATAAACATGGGTCTTACATTTCTAACCACCGTAGGTTGCACTGAAAACACTATTACCACTGTTCATCCCTTAATTTGCTCTATCTTACACATAGCTCCAACCTTGCGGTTATTGCTTGTAAAGCTGGGAGCTATTGTTGTTGAAAACAAGCTGGGTAGAGTCTGAGTGAACTGAGAGTCTACACTGAGTGCTGATTAGAGAGTACTAGCCAATGGAAAAATGTGAGTACAGAAGATCACATCCTAACAGCACCAGATACTTTAACAGTTATATAAAGTAATGGAAATGGTCCCTATATTTAAAGAAAAAATATAATTTTTAAGTCAATTAAAAAGGAGGCTGGGGGGAAGGAAACATTATTTTTAGAACTATATTTATGAACTATATTGAACCTCTTAAAAACAAAGATACAATTTAAATCTAAATCAAAATAAATAACTAAATAAGTGATTTGAAAAACTGGAGACCAAAAGCAGAGGCTGAAGGGGAAATGATTCTTGCCCGAGCGCACACAGATTAGGCTCTGAGGCCCATCTTCAGCAAACACACTGTGGAAATCAACATGTGACCCTGATAAGACAATGTTCAAAAATGACAGCCACAGGGATACTACGGGGACAGGTGAGGAAATTTAATAACAACTGGGTATTAGTAGATACTGTACTTAGTTTGGATTTTCTTAGGTATGACAATAGCGTTGTGGTTACCCAGGAGTACTATGGTTAACTTTTAGCAGTAGTGAAAAAATGCTAACAATGTAATCAGAGTGGCAACCTAAAGGGTGATACTACATTATGGTTCCAGCTTATTTTAAAATTCACACGTTTCCTTGGGTGGGGGAGGGATACTTACGAGCATTCTTCAAAGACTTTGACCCTTTCGCAACCTTCAGGAGGCTCCCTTTTGAACATGTAACTGTTGTTAGGTTTGGGTGAGGTTGCATATTTAGGCAAAGGAGAGTTGTTCCCATTCTCTGCAAGAAATAATACACTGGATTACTAAGAAACACTCCTCCACATCAATCACACTATATTTAACTGTTCCTGGCCTCTTCCCAAGAATTATTTGAGGGCAGGAAGATTGTTTTATTCAACATCCTCCAACAGCTAACACAATTCTTGGTAAAGAGGAGGTAACACGTCTTTGTTAAATAAGTCATGTGAACAAAATATTTTTAAATTCTTTTTCACTTAAAATTATCATTACCTCACTTAATCCTCGTACTGAACAATGATCTAGCGGCTGTCTCATTTTTATTTTTTGTTTTTAAGGTTTATTTGGAAGGCAGTGCTACATACAAGGAGAGGAAGAGAGATGGAGGGAGGAAGAGGTAGGTAAGCATGTAGGTCGGTCTGTCTTCCATGCTTTCATTTACTCTTCAGATGGCCAACAAACAGGGCTGACCCAGGCTGACGCCAGGAGCCCAGTCCCCTGTGCAGCTAAGTTTCCTACGTGGGTGGTAAGGGCCCAAGTACTTGAGCCGCCTTCTGCTGCTTTGCCAGATGCACTAACAGGGAGCTGGATAGACAGTGGAGACCCCAGCACTCAGATGGGATGTTGGAGGTGCAGGTGGCAGCTTAACCAGCTGCAGCACAAGCACACACAGTCATCCTTCACTTCAGTACAAGGGTTGAAATGGTTCTTCATTACTTACAATGAACGCTTGGCTTGGAATTTGTTCCTCTGGTTATAATCTATGCTCCAAGTAGTCAGAGCCCTGTATACCAAAGAATTCACTTTATGAATCTCCCCTTACTCAAGGGAGTGTGGGGGAGGATAATTCTGATTTTCTTAAACTTCTTCAAAGCCTGATACTTCCAAAATGTTTCCAAATGAACTCTACTCAAGGAACATTTATTTTAATACTTTGGTTCAACACTGATGTCATCAGTTTACACTATATTAACCTAAAATTCTTGTTATGTTATATAACTATCCTAGATTTTCAGTTATATCAAGCGACAAATTCTTTACTGCCAGCAGCGCTATGTTCAATTTTCTTACAACGTACATTAATAGAGGCCAGCCAGTCACTCATCTCCTAAAGTCATATGCAGCAGTCCACAAAATCTACTGAGTTCTAACAGTGTAAGTTCTAACAAGTATAAGGAATGGGAAACCAAGAGAGATTTTTAGTAGCCATGTTTCATCTGACAACAAAGGAAGGAGAGAGGGAAGAGAAGAGGACAGGGAAGGCAGGGAGGAGCCAGCACTGTGGTGCAGAGCGTGAAGCTGTTGTCCATAATGCAGCATCCCACAGGGGCTCTGGCTTGAGTTCCTGCTGCCCTGTTTCTGATCCAGTTCCCTGTCAATGTGCCTGGAAAGCAATGGACACTGGCCCAACCACTTGGGTCCCCTTGTAGGAGCTCTAGTTCCTGGCCTGAGCCTACCTCAGCTCCAGCTGTTATGGCAAGCTGGGAAGCCAACCAATGGCTAGAAGGGTTCTTTTCTCTCTGTCCCTTTCTTTATTGCTTGACCTTTCAAATAAATCAATACATCTTTTTTTTAGGAAAAAAACAAAAGGTCTGCTGTTTACAGCTGCTCAAAATCTGTAGTGACTTCTTCAACAACTTCATTATTTCAGTGATTTAGGAGATTACAGTATCAGTCATCACCACAATGGGGCATTCTTGGACACTCAGCTGATCCACAGATAAGATTCTAAATAGATGACTGCTGAACCCAGCTCCACAAATCAGAAATAAAGGTTAATAAGGTACATAAATGCCCATCTTTTACATCAGGTTTCCTATGAACAGTAGTCTTGTATCAATGCAAATCAATAAATCCTATCAGAAATCTCAGAAATAGATCCCCAAAAACACTAACTTGAAGTCTTTGTGTTCAGTTAAATATTAAGGTAATAAGATACTTTTAAACAAGACTTAAAAAAACACACACAAAATGTTTTGCAGTACAAATATGCACATCATTTATAAAAAAATGTTTTTAATAAGGAAGCTGTATTAACAAGTGCAAAAAATATGGAAATAAAAGCCCATAAATCCACCCAACTAGACCACCACCTGAGTTTCACAGTAAAACCTACTATTCTGTACTCCAATTTTTGTAAACCTATGTTTCTAACACATTACCCTAGCAGCCCACTTCTGCCAGAATGAACGATACAATAGGTGGCAGTCATTCTTCTGAGAACAACCCCAGCACAGTACCTTTATCCCTGGGATCAACAAGCAGGTCATCAGCTGAACAAGGACTCTCCTCACTGCCTTCGTTAGAAATGGTGAGGAATGACGTGGGGGACACCGACTGAGAGCGGCTGCTGTTGTTGCTCCCCTTGTCCGCCCCGCCGGGAGTCTGGGTGTCGATGCTCCGGGTGCTGCTACTTCTCTGCACCAGTGGGGGAGGGGCACGGTGCCCATCTGGAATGTCTTGTGGCTGTAAGAGATGTTTCAAACATCAATCTACTCACCACTGATTTCAAAATTCACCAACAATGCACCCAGTCAACCTTCCCCTGTAGTGCCAGGGCCTCACAAATTAGAAATTGCTCTATACCTACGAGGTCTTTGTGCTTATTACTGACATACCGCTGTCTAAACTGATTCCTCTTTGTGTGGGAGTGAAGACCAAGCGAAGACTTTGTATTCTGCCCACTATCACTGAAAGTTTAAAAGAAACCTAAAAGGAGAGAAAGGTGAATCACAGCAGTGCTACGCGGAAATCGAGCAATGCCTGTGAGGCTCACTTAGCAGGGGAACCAGCTCCCTGCACACCTTGATGTACGTACCATGCTCACTCCATGGTGCAGAAGAAACAGTGCTGGGGAGCTATGTCTTCTCTAAGCTAATTCAAGCTTTTATCTTGAGGAGAAGGATCTTACACATCAGTAAAATACCACTTCAAACTCCCTAATTCCTCCCTCAGTGAATGGAGGCTTAAATAAATGTACTCTGAGTCTTTCAAGCCTGAAGTAGTTTTTCTCATTGTTTTAATGGGAATCACTGTTATGCATATTCAAATTAGGAGGAGGGATAGACTGAAGATAATTTCTAAATGCATTTCATGATTATACAGCCTGGCATGTCAAGTAAAACCATGAGTAACTGACAAACAACGAGGAACAAGTAGACTCATGGTTACAAGATGTCTGGTATCATACAATTTCCCTCCCATCAAAATGCACAAGCCAGCTCTGTTACACGTAGTCATAGCAAATGAGAAATACACCACCTAGAGTAACTTTTTTTAAAGCAAAGAATTTCTGTCTAAGAGCTGAGTACATGTTAGAACAGCTGCTTCACTGAGATGCAAAGGGATGAAAGCTTTTCAATCACTTGCCAAGGTCAAAGTTTTTCAAGACAGTTAAATTTTCATTTTCTTTTAACCAGAAGGAAGAAACCTAAGTAAATATGGAAAGCAGAATTGTGAATTAGAGTTCATGTGTGAAGCTGATTTTAAGGTGAGATTACTTACTATTAGCTGTTCTTCCTTTTCCCCAGTCTCTTTAATTATTATTTCTATCTCCTGGTTCAATCCTTCCACACTGTTCCGGAACCGGGAACCTGTTGATTTGGCGATGGGAATTACTGGAATAAGTGTACTCTTTGGAACAGGAGCCTTAAGACAACAGGATGGAGAAAAAGGAAAGAAGAGATTTAACATTGTCTTTTATTTCTCTAGATTGAAGCATACTTACAACTGGCTTAAACTCAGGGCCTGGCGCGGTGGCCTAGTGGCTAAAGTCCTCACCTTGAACACCCAGGATCCCATATGGGCGCCAGTTCTAATCCCAGCAGCTCCGCTTCCCATCCAGCTCCCTGTTTGTGGCCTGGGAAAGCAGTCGAGGACAGCCCAAAGCCTGGGGACCCTGTACCCATATGGGAGACCCAAAGGAAGTTCCTGGCTCCTGGCTTTGGATTGGCACAGCACCGACCACTGCACTCACTTGGAGAGTGAATCATCAGACAGGAAGATTTTCCTGTCTCTTCTCCTCTCTGTATATCTGATTTTGTAATAAAAATAAGTAAATCTTTAAAATAAAAATAAATAAAAACTCAAAGGGGCTGGTTCTAGCAGCAGGCTGTACACTGCCATCCGTGTGCACCAGTTCAAATCATAAACGTTCTGCTTCTGATTTATTCAGGAAAGGAAACTATAGCCTTTATTTTTTCCCTTTTTCCCAAGGCCTATCTACTAAAGCCCGATTATATAATACAGGAAATAACCTGATTTTCTAGCAAGATACTATAATAACAGGTAAAATATGCATTAATAGTTATCTGCTCATGTCTAAAGGTTCAGCATGCAAAAAAAAAATCTTACATACAGTCCTGTTGTCAGGCATTAAATGTGGCTAGCCCATACTTCAATTAGGGAGGTTTCTGTGAAAGACCTTGTACAGAAGAAGGTGGACAAGTGGATTAAGGCCTCTAGTTACTTATCACTAGTTTCCTTGAATGAATAATCTTGTCACCTGATAAAGAACTTAATGTTAAATTTGTGTTTCTCTGTTTTACTTTCTGCTCATCTGCACAACTTAAGGGGAAAAATTAAATAACACAACAGTGATGCTTAGAAAAGACAGGAAATGTGAGTCAAAAGCCCAGGGGAAGCCCTGCTTTGAAAGTCAGAGTACTTCTTGCCAGCTTATTCAGTGAGCGCACCTGTAATATGGGACAGGAAGTGGTGGTGGCAGGGGTCCGCCTCACAGTCCTGTGGATAAAATGAGAAGATCCCTGCCCTATCTTGTATAAGCTCAGAAAACAGTAGCTATAATTTTTATTTTCTACTTGCCACTATTTTTTTCTTAAAAACACTTTAGTATTTTTCTATTACTCTTGTATTTTAAGTTTTTTCCCCCAAATCCCACTTTTCTTTTACATATTGTGTCTCATAACTAACCTTTTTTCTTAATTTGAAGGGCAGAGTGTGTGGGAGAGCAACTGAGTATATGCAAACTAGCTCCAACCTGCTGGCTCACTCCCTATATGCCCATAATGGTTAGGACTGGATCCAGTTCCACAATCCAGGTATCCCACACTGGTGGCAGGAACCCAGTTCACTCTACCATCACTGCTGCCCTCCATGGTCTGAATTAGTACAACAGTGGAATCAGTGGCTATAGCAAGGAATCAAATCCAGATTCTCCAATATGGAAAACGGGCACCGTAAGTGCTAAGCTAAATGCCTGCCTCTCCTTCCCTTTTCTAAAATCCATGTCTCCTGAGATGTAACAGATTTAACCTGCTGCCTGCAATGCCAGGATCCTGATGGTTGAAGTCCCACAGATTCCCTGCTTCTGATCCAGCTCCCCTCTGATGCTTTTGGGAAAATAGAAGACCCTACACCCATGTTATAAAAAATTAAATTTCTATTATAATCTGTAATCAATAACCTATAAATTTTCAGCAATATGAAGTGGTATGCAAAATAAGAATGATGATGTTTTTAGAAGATAAATGTAGAATTAATTTACCAATTTACAAATAGAAAGTTATGGTACCTGTCCCATATATTTACAAAGCTCTGATCAGCCCTTGTGTTTCTTCTGGTTTTTCCTTTCCCAAAATGAAAATATAATTGTGTGTGTGTGTGAGAGAGAGAGAGAGAGACAGACAGAGAGCCCTCTCTCTCACCAGATACTGACCCCCACATCACCTTAATCATCGATGTCTGTTTTACAGAACTGGGTGGAAATGGCATACTGAGGACGCTAACATACCCACCCTTCATTTTACTTTTCCTTACAACCATTTAATAGGCTTAAGAAGCTATTTAAATATAATCCAGAAATGTGGCGACCCAGGAAAATTGAGTATGTCCATTACATTTTTACCCTGAAAATAATTTTTAACTACTACTATCTTCCTTAATGTAAAATTAAAAGTTTGCACTGAACAAAGAAAAACAGAGTTCAATCACCCAGTGCTAACAACTGTTAATCTAATAAATACTCTTCTATCCGGGTATTTTCCTCCAAAAACACACATTTCTAACCAGAAACAGACTGTACTGAGTGCTTCATATTTTCTGTTTTTTACTTCATATCAGATCTCTAGTATTTATCCTTTAACTCTTTTATTGATTATGTCATTTGTATAGCTGCATAGCATTTCTGCAACATGGGTACATTACAAAATAAATGCACCACAGAACAAACAATTTCCAACTTTTTTTCCCCAAAAAGTCACTATGGACATCTTACGTAAACAATTGTACATATAGGTAAACACACCTTTAGGGTAAATTTCTGGGTTAGATGAAAATCCTGGCCAAAAGAACAGGAAAGATTTCTCAAGACTTTCATAATTTCAAACTGAACAGTAAGATATTTCACTCCTCACTTTTTTTTTTGCCAGATCTATATAAAAAACTTTAGCACTGACCATTAAATTTGCTTTTAATGTCTGCTTATTTTTACAGACTAAAAACCATCTCATCTCTAACTTCTGTAGTTGAGCATAAGTGAAGATGATTTTCCTCCTCTTTATTTTTGTTTTTAAAGATTTATTTATTTGAAAGGTCAGAGTTACAGAGAGGGAGAAACACAGACATCATCCATTGGTTTACTCCCACTATGACCAAACAGCTATGGCTGGGCCAGGCCAAAGCCAGGAACCAGGACTTTGGTCTGGATCTCCTATGTGGGTGGCAGACACCCAAACACCTGGGCCATCTTCCTTTAGTCTTATCAGGCCGTTAGGAGGGAGCTGGACTGGAAGTGGAGCAGCTGGGACTTGAACCTAAATGGAATGCCAAGGTCACAGGCAGTGGCTGTGTTACAACACCGGCCCTGATGGTGAATTTTTTACATAATTAGTATCATTTGTCCATTTTATAGCAGGGAAGGGGACAAGGAAGACTTGCTTTTCCCTTAATTGACTTGAAAGAGCTCTTTATAGTTTACATATGAATTCTTCATGTTGTACATATTGAAATTACATCTTAATTCTCATTATTCAAATTCTAACTGGCTTAAATGTTGTTCACAGTTATTTAAAGGGCATTTCTGGATCTTCTGTGAGGACAGTAAGATGAAGTATCTGCTCACCTTTTTCTTAGACATTCAGACATTTGCACCTCAAAATCCATTCAAAGGTGTGTCTCCACAGCTACATATCAGCTAAAGGTTAAACTGTTTCTAAATGAAGTAACAGGGGTGGGTATCAGAGCAGGGTAAGCCATCATCCACATGCCTACTGGAGTGCCCGACTGAATTCTGGCTCTTCTGCCTCACAGCTATACACCTGGGAAGAAGCAGATGGCTCCAGTTTAGGATTCCTGCCAGGCATCTGGGAAATCTGGCCTGAGTTCCAGGCTCCTGGCTCCAGCCTGAGCAGCCTTGAGTATTCTGGGCATTTGGGGAGTAAAGCAACAGATAGAAGATTTCTGTCTCTTATTCTCCTTTCAAGTAGACTAAAAGTAACATCATATTTGATTTTTAGTACTCAAGTATGACTTTGAATGATTAAACACTTAGTTTTAAATTTCTCATACTTTGATCTGAAAATCTGCTTGGTGTTGACAAGTTGTTCTCCATTATTCATGCTACTGACACATTAAATAAAAAGTCGGAAAACAGCTAGGATTAAAGAGAAAATACAGCATAAACAAGGCATAATATGATATACCATAGAATCATTATAAATCATGCTTTTATGACAAACTGAACAATGCAAACAAAATCTTAACACTGAATGTTAAAAACAACAAAAGAGGAACATAGTCTTACAAATAAATGCACAAACTTATTTTTATAAAATAAGCAGCAATTAATTAGTACCTAATATATGCTCTCTCTGCTCTTAGTATTTCACATTTTTTAATTTACTCTTACAGAAGATTTTTAAGATCTTCTGAATGACTATATATCCCAGTCCGGTTTTTCATTAAAAAAAAAAATAGCTCTGAAAATCCAACTAATCCAGTGTCCCAGATGGCAGCATATATACTAAGTCCCAACAACACTAGAACTATAAATGCTACCAATATTCAAACTAGTTAGTTTTTATATACAGGTAAAAGTGGAAAATCACATAATTTTACTATTTTTTATTTTCCCCAATTTTTTTGAGTACTTTCCTATCCTTTGATAATCAGGAATTCTCTACAGTGAATCAGTCACTAACTTCAATAATTCAGAATAATATTTAATATGGTCTTGAACTGATGTCTTTTTTGCCTTGATAACTGTCTAATTTCCCTTAAAGTAGTTCAGCCCCACAGACTTAAACCTGAAACAGAAAAAAAGATTTCTTCATTGTGATAAATGTAAGTAGACTACTTTGACTCAAGTCTGGGGGTAGCTCCGACTGGGCTGCATTTCCTGCTGATGTGCGAGAGGGCCAAGTGTGCGTTGGGTAGAGTTGGGCTAGGCTGCAACATCCATTGGTTTGTGTATGAGGTGGGGCTGGGGACAGAACTGACCCAGTAACTGCAACCAACATTTTGTGTGTAGGCTGATGTTGGTGATAGACTGAACCAGGCCCTGCACTGGCTGTCACACACAGGAGTCAGGCTGGGGTCACTTTGGAAAGGTTTCTTTGGCGATGCCCTCAACTGAATCGCTGGACTCAGAACTCCAACCACAGTGAAAAATCACAGGATCTGTGGTCTGA